GATCATGGTCCCTCAATGACGCTATCATAGTTACCTTTGAAAAAGGATCTTAGTCCCTAAAGAAAATGCTAAGATATCTTGCAACATTGCTAATCATGGTTATACAATGACCCACGCCCGTCCCTTTTACAATCAAAGATAGGGTTACTTACCAAATCAATGGTAAGATAACAATGTCAAAGGAAAAAGGAAATGAACATGAAATACTTTTGAGTAAGTAGAATGTTCCTAGTTACTTGCTCCATTTCAAAACAAAAGCATCCTTGCTATTTTCAAAACAAACACCTACACTTCCAAAACACCTTTCAAACTTGAAAACATCTTCAAAAGATCAACACCTTTGTATACATTCTTACGAACGATAATCATTATAAAGTTTGCCTAAATAATGGCCCCTTTTCAAAAATAATTTCAAAAACCACACAAAGCACATTTTTAAACAAAGTAAGTGCTCTAAAAAGTAACTAAGAGCATATGGAAAACCGTGGATGAAAAGGGTGCTAATATCTTCCCTTTTCATAATCTACCCCCGAACTCAAGAAAATATCTCAAAGGTCTTTCCTGTGCTTTTTCACCTTTCCTTTTGGATAAAAGAAAATTCGGTGGCGACTCTTACTAACCGCAACAATTGCGATAAAAATGCAAAACATCCAAGTCAGTTCTCCCACCGTATCACAGTGACCCCTAAAAAACACCAACCCCATGCGAACTACGAATTGGAACTCTGATTCCTTATAAGAGGATACGTAGGCATACGATCAAAAATCGTGGTTAGTCCTCCTAAGTAAAATTTAGAACCCTGTTTAACCTGAAACCTAAACCTAAAACCTAGTATCCTTGTGAACAAGTTAGATGAAAGGTGCCTAACACCTTCCTTTCATCTAATGAAGTCCGAAACCTAGAATCTATGTCTGTGAATTAGGGTTTTCTATTAGATTCCCTTCCCTAGGATAAAAACTAATAGTAGCGACTCTTGATTTAAAAATTAGTCACTACAATGTCGTCACAAAAGATACACACTTAAACTTGAAATTGTGTGTTAACATTAAGTTAGTATAACTTAATGGCACATAAGTCTAATTTTACAACTCCAAATCGAAAAGGAAAACAAATATAAAAAGGAAATAGAGATAATTGTCAACACAAAGTCAAACTATAACCAACAAAGACACATAACAAAATACATCCACGACTAATCACTCTTCTCGAGCTTGATTGTCTTCCAAAGCTTGTTAGAAAAGAGCTCTCCATCACAAAATTCCTCTGAGGTTGTTAATTCACTTGAACCCCCTGGAAAGTCTCTCTTACCAATAGGTGTTGTTGGATCCGTGTTATGCTTAGATGTGATCTCGAGATCCTATTACACAATGAATGAGACAAAAGGTTTTATTTTATACCATTAGGACAACATAAACTTATATAGAAATAGAGAGGAAGTCATAGATTGCTATTTCCTTTACACAATCTTTAGGCGCGTCTGTCTTGGCCTCATCCATACTCTCTTTAATATAAGCATAATATAAAAGTAATCATTATATGCAATATAACCATATAACAACAACTATAATAAAACAAACGAACGACTAAAAAATTCAATAGGGTAAATACCTGCAGAGGATCAGATGTTATGGAGGAGACCAAAACAACTTCCTTTTTATGGAAAACAAAGTATCGTTAGAAAAGTTGTGTAATACCCAAATAAACAAACAACATAAAATACCAAAACCTTGTTAAGAAGATTATACCTCGTCTATGTCCCATGGAGCCTTAATTTTCCTGATAAAAGGTTCATCCCTAAGGATCCTCGTGACAGAGCAATTGTTCCATCGCGGCTGCCACCTCACCTTAAATGCTATCTCCAAGTTCAGCAGTTGATCCAGTGCCAATGGGAATTCCAATGAATCATCAATTCCAACCTATATAACAAACCTCAATAATGAGTACCAAAACATTACAAAAATGCATATACTAAGGGGTGGGGAATAAGACGCTAAACCTTGATCATAGTATGACGTAGTTGGGCAGCATATAAACCCAGAAGAAGCTCACATTCTCTATTCCAAAACACAAAGTTACAACTGCTGCCCCGTGGAAAACCTGAATCTCTATCTTGTACCTACAATGTCATGATTAATGGATATAAAAAATATGATGACAGAAATATACAAAAATAGCTTTCACGACCACTACATATATTAAAGGACAAGTAATAAGACCTAAAGATTTCAGCCTCAGTTGAATGACCAGTATCATAGTCAAATGGAGGAGTGTCACCACATACAATGCAAGGACACAAATGGCAGGCACGGTAATACCACTCAAACAGAGATTCCACCACAATCCTTGTTTTAGCAACACTAGCGCAAAATGTAATCTGCATCAATAGCCCATGACATGAATCTTAAATGACAAAAAATAACAGTAACAACCGAATTGTATCATACATCACGTAGTTTGATTATTTCACCAAGAGGAAAAACAACAACACTTGAGAGTAACCTCTGAGCAGGGTTGATTTATGTTTTTTCAGAATTATGCAATGAGAGCTGTGAACCCGAACCCAAATGCCCGGAGACAGTAACGATAAAGTCCTTGGGCATGAATAAGTGAATTAAAAAAATGTTCATGCAACAACACGATAAATCCAACCTATCAATGGATACCATCGATTTGATACAGAGAGTATACCAGTCTATGAAATCTTTGATCGGAGGAAAACCAACATCAAGGCAGACCAACGTGATATTGTAGGTGTTTGTGACCGACAGCGGAAACTTCCCCACATAAACAAAAATAGGACGCAAGTCTGAGTCGCCAAAAATAAATAGTTTTATAATAACAGAATAAACCAACCAACCCTCTTGTTTGACTTTTGCATACTACAGCAACAACACAGTTGGACCAGAGCTATTGCCACGATTCGGTGTGAATTTGATAAACTGGTCGGCATACGATTCCCAAAGAGTACAACTTAGAGTGTTGTTGTTAAACAATGAATACATAATAGTCGGTCAGCAAAAGAAATTTAAGATGCATTTCATATGATATATGATATAACAACAATGACGAAAGCACTGGATTACATACCTGTGGTCCCTTAACATCATATTAACCTGCTGTTTTTTTGAAGCTGACCGCGTCTATGAATACCCAATACCCTCAACCATTCCAATTATATCTTGCAAAAAAAACGACAAACATCCGCATAAGAAAAAAACAATACATCGAATTCAAATGCGCGACCAAAAGATCAATAAAAATGTTAGATTTTTTTACCTGTCAGCACATCCTTGTTATAATTGCCGCTGATTATATCGGAAAAACCAGTAAACACCAATGATTTCGCATGTATGTCATGTTTATTATCCTCCCCAACAGACGTACCTCCTGTAAACTTGAGCATAAATTTGTGCGTCAAAGGTGTAAAAGCTGACACATTCGGCTGAACCAAAAAGTTGGCTAAATTATAAGTATGGCCCAACAACAGTTTTTCATCAAAAACAAACTTATATGGCGCAGGGACAACAACATGTATATCGCCGTCCTGCAATGCACACAAAAATAACAGAATTTCAGAAAACAAACCATTTACTATACAACGAACAAAAAATCTGCAATAACAACAAAATATGCCACATAAATTGTATGAAAAACAAAATAGAAAAGAACCACCATGAAGACTATCCAGACGCAGAGAAAATAAATTTTACCGCTTTGTCCATAAAAATCATTTCAAAATAATCTTTGTTGTTAATCAGCACATTCCACTTATGATGAACCCTGATTGCGACCTTCTACAATTCTTTATTGTCATTGATGTCGCATATTTTTTCAATTGTCTGTGCCATGTTAAACCGATAAGAGGGAGAAGTTGCAAAAACGTTAGGGTTTGAGGCAGGTGAAGTTGTAACAGAAGTTGTGAGTATGGAAGGTTATAAAGAATGCTATCCATGATGATTTTGGAACGGTTGAGGTCTAGTGGAACGGACGTGAACATTTAAAACCAACAAATTGAAGTTGTGGATACAGTTACCAAAGTGACAATGAATAGGGGATGTTGGGTAGGCAGCGCAAAGGATAATCCCAAGGGAGTTTATACGTGAATCTTGAAATATGAAATAGGAAGCAAATAAGCCATCAACGTGTTATATTTTTAGAACAAAATGACAAAACATGTTTTTTTGGGTAGAATGACTTTTCTTATATTATAGATTTATGTATCATACTTTACATCTTTTCTCCAAGAAAGAAAAACGTGAAAACGAGAGAATAGTTCAAGAAATATAAGTACACATTTCATTATGAAATTGACAGTATGTTAATAATATGGATTTCATGAAAAGTTTAAGTACTTATAATACTTACATAGAACATCGAACTAAACTAAGTGAATGTTTGGTTTATCTTTTGGAAGAGTCAAATAATTTTAAAGGTGTAGAATTGATTTTAGAATGATTTTAAGGTGTTTGATTTTTCTAAAGTAAAATTAATCATGCCTTTAAAATTGATTTTGTTTAGGTTAAAATTTATAGCTTTTGAGTTTAAATGTAATTTTTACATGAAATTTATTGTTATACTCAATTTTATATAAAGTTATCAAAATATAAATTTATGGTTGATTTAATTTTTGGATAAACAAAAAATTAATTTTAAAAGTGTATAATTGATTTTGTAATGATTTTGAAGTGTTTGGTTATTTTTATAGTATAATTAATTAAATTTGAAGTTAAAATTTGTAGTTTGAATTTAAATGTAATTTTTACTTAGAAATTTAGTGTCCAACTCAAATTTTTTTAACGCAAAACTAAACATACACTTATTGAAAATCAATTCTTTTCACTACAAAACCAAATATAACTTAAAAAAAGAAACTTAGTCAGTCATGACACATAATGGTACAAACAATTGATAAATACATTTCTAATTAGGATAATTCAAACAAATAATCATCTTTGGATATATAGGAATATGTAACAACACATATAAACAATTTAAGATATTCATTCATCTGTGGCCACAGTAACAAGTCTAGCATACTTGCTGACTTTCTCCCTCAAACATTCTGTTACCCTTGCTGCATCAACATCTTCTCCTTTAATCACAACTGTATCTTTTCCTTCCCTTTCAAAACTAACCGATGTAACACCTATTATATCAATATCATCCACAAATAATTATTACTTAATCAAACACTAATAATAATTAACATTAAAGTTACCATCAGAACGTACCATCGGCAATGGTGCATATGGTCAATATTTTCTTCTTACATTTTGCACAACGGAGTGGTATCTCAATCACAATCTTTTGCTACACAATGAACTCGAGTTTTTAAGAGAAAATGAAGAAGAAAGAAATAACTAATATTCGTTATTGCAAATTGACTTACCCTCATGATAATCTTCACCAAATGAAATTAGCTTAATTAAGTCTATAATTAAGAATCTTGTTGTAGAAGAAATAACCACAATCCCATGCATATATATAGTCATAAGAGAACATGTGTATGTGTGACTTGCAATATAGCTTAATAGTCAAATTGAAATAATTAACTTGTATACATGAGATTAAGTTAAGTAATTCATGCATTAATTCAAAAAGCTAAGTTGGCGATCCACTTTTCGTGGACTTAACACGGTTGACATATTGTATTATACTATCAAACAAACGAGCTAAGTCAAAGTCGGCTGCTTACATATGTGCAAAGTCAATATTAATTGTATGACGTGTATCAAAGGAATACGATGATGTATATAAATGTTTTTCTAGGTGTGAAAAATAAAAGAAAGGGATGAGAATTTGAATTGAATTTTAAATCAAAATCTTTTCTATAAAAATATTATTCTTCATTAAAATATTTTTTCCTTCACTCTTGATAATAACAATAAGTAAGAACAGGAAGTAAACAACAATGTATGTTTATACTAGTTCACTTGAAAATTATCAAGTTAGTTTAGTCCACCCGCCAACGTGATCTCGCCTCACTCAATCGAGGACTTAATTCACTATAACCAAACTGATTACAATTTGCACAAACTACCCGCAAGTGACTAACAACCTCTAAGACACAATAGTCCTAGACTTCTTAAGGATACAGACCTACCCGATCCCTTAAGGAAAATCCCACACAAGCTACCCGCAAGTGACTAACAACCTCTAAGACAAACAAATCTTAGACTTCTTAAGGATACAGACCTACCCGGTCCCTTAAGGAAAAATCAAACAACCGTGTGAATACAAATTTTGTTTACAAAAGTACTACTTCTACACAAGCTGAATATGTAAATTATTTTAAGAATAACGACTAAAAAATATGAAAGCTATGAACAACACTTTGTGCGTGCATATTTATTTGATTGACAACTTTCTGTCTTAGTCTTCAAGCCTTTATATAGCCAATAGAATAATATATCTATTGAGGGGTACTCTGGAGATTTCCAGAAACATTGACAGCTTGAACAATAACGTGGAGGACAAGATCGTGTGACGCGTCCGTCCTTTTATGATAGTGGAATGAAATATTAATTGTATCATGTACTATTTCTACCACGTTAACGTTATCTTCTTTCCTTCTGCACTTCAGAGGCTTATGCGAGCATGAGCTTAGAAGCGAGAACATAACACAAGGTCATCAGAACTTCAAGTCTTCAGAGTCTTTAGAACTGCGTCTTCAGAGTCTTCAGCACTTGGTTGTGAGAAACTTTTCTTAGAACCTTGGGTCTTTAGAACTTCAAGTCTTTAGAATCTTTAGAACTTTTGTCTTTAGAGTCTTCAACACTTGGTCTTTAAAACCCTTATCTTTAGAACCTTGGATCTTTAGAAACTTGAGTCTTTAGCATCTGAACTTGAGTAGAAACTTTTGTCTTCAGATCTTCTGACCGTTTCTTTAGAACCCATTATCTTCAGAAACACGAGTCTTTAGCATCTGGACTCAAGTAGCAACTTCTGTCTTCAGATTTTCTGATTGGTTTCTTTAGACAAACATCAAATCTTACACTTCAGAGCCTTCTGAAGCATCTTACTAATGTTCAATAGAACTTGTGTAGCACAGAAGAAAAACTAATTCTCTTAAAAAATCTTGGCCACACAATCCATCAGAAGCAGAACCTATTTGTTAAGTACTCAACAATAACAAACATTAGAGTATCAAAATTGTTCATACAAACATACTCATTTGTTATCATCAAAACTCAAAGATAATATTGCAGAACCAAATCTTGTTCTCACAATCTCCTCCTTTTTTATGATGACAAAACTATGTATTTTGATGACACAATTTTGTTCATATAATCAGAAAAAGTGAAAATAGAAAGGTAAGGAATACTTATCTTCTTTATGATACTCCCCCTGAGTCAATGACTTGATGAAGGTTGAATATCCTGACTCTGAACCATTTGAGTAAAACTCCCCATGATTACAATAGATCAGATATTAAGATCTTGAGAGTCTTGACTCTGGATGCCAATGGAAAAATTGAAATCTTGATACCAATAGAACAATTGAGATCTTGATTTCTTAAAACTTCTTCTTAATGAATCTTGACTTTAGATGCTAATGCTAATGAAATCAAATTGAAATCTTTGAAACTTTAATGTCACTAAGACAAATTCCAGATTCTCAAAACATATCTTCAGAGTTAGACATAAGTCTTGCATTGTATATTCTGATCTTCTTTAACTATAGTTCTCATTTCTTGAAAAAGAAAAACAATTCTAACAGAAACATAAGTTTAATTGGGTTAGAATGTAAGCAGCTCTTTTCAGAGAACAATTTCCAGAACTTGATTATTGAAATCAAAATTACGTTCATTTAATTACTCCCCCTTTTTGTCATGATCAAAAAGGTAATTATGTGTGAAAAACATAAAAACCAGAAGAATTGAGAGGACAAGATAAGTGGTTAGCCAAAAGAAGACTTCATTAATTTTAAATAGTCACATAATAAGAAGTCAGTTGAAGGAAGTAGAACAAACTAAGATCTAAAAAGAAGACTTGCAGAAATATCAAATAATCAGAAGAAAAATAGTAGTCATAAAAAGTAAAAAAAGAAGTTATAAACCAAAATAAACTTCATTAAGAATCAGAAGATCATAAGTCAGAAAAGAAAACATAAGAAGCAAAACATAATCCTATGGTTCAAAAGCAAAAGGAAAAGGAAATTCCTAGAGCCTAGGGTTCAGGAGCAGGAGTAGGAGTAGAAATCTTTTGCAGAATCAGCTGTAGCATATTCTAAACATTCTCATTGATAACCTTTTGTTCAATGATGCTTTCCTTGAAAACCTGTTGTTCTCCTCTAATTTCACTAATTACAGTTTCCAGACACACAATGGCAGGATCAGAAGATGAAGCAACCATGGCATCTTCTTTAGCCTTCGTAGCTTCTTCTACCAATCTGGCTTCTTCATCTTTTCTGGCTTCTTCTGCCTCTTGAGCCTTAAGCCTGGCTTCCTCTGTTTCTTTTAGCGCTCTAGCTTCTACTTCTATTTGTTTTGCAGTAATTAATTCAAAAAATCAGACTCTTTCTCTTGTTTCTTTTCTTTCAGTTACCATTTGAACATCCCCAATTCTGGATGCTTCAGTAAAAGAATTCATTCATTCAACTTCAAAAGACATCCACTTCTGAAAAAGTTTCCAAGAATCATCCATGTCCAGAGGCTCAGTACTTGTACTTGCCTCTGCCCTTAACTTAGCAACCTTTTTCTTAGCCTTGATTCTAAAAATGTTAATGCATTCATCAAAGGTTTTAGGAGTAGGTTTTCCATAAACAACCAAGGCTTGGGTAGGTTCAAGATGATTTGGTTCAGAAGTTTAATCAGGAGGATTTTATGATAACGGTTGTTCAGTCATATCAAAAAGTTAAGAATGAGTGAAATGTTCAGTTGTGGAAATTTCAACGGCTCCACGATTGTCACAAATTGTCCTTTCAGACATTTCGTGATCAGAAGGAGAAATTGGATCAGGATGGATAATGGGTGATTCATGGAGAGTAGTTTCTTTGTTAAAGAAGGCAAAATGAAGATTGGTATCAAAAGTTGATAAATGAGAAGTTTATGAAGGTGATTGAGATGAGGTTAATGGAGATGTAAAAGTGTGGATTGGTTCTGATGAAATTATGATAGTGAGACATGAAATAGGATTTGGAAAAATAGAAATTTCTGTTGAAGGTTAAGATGTGATGTTTTATGGTAACGATGAGACAAGTGGGGAAGAGAAGGTAGAGATAGATTGAGATGGTATGGGTGTAGATATGAATGAGAGTAGGTTAGAAACGTGGGCGGTTGATGAGGTCGCAAGTTCAGAAATGGTTATGGTATTTGGGATAGAGGCAGTTGTTGTTGCAGGTAATGTTGTAAAGACAATTTCAGAATCAAGGTTTTCCGTAGTTAAGGGAGCACGATTAGAAACATGAATAAATGTGGTGGATGGTGGAATAGAAAAATAATTGAAATTATCATATGGAGGAATGGTGATTGTTAGTTGATATACATGAATTGTTAAAAATGATAGTGTAAAGGAAATAAATGAAAAGGGAATAGAAGTAGTAACAAAGTCAGAAACAATTGTAGTTCTGGTTGATGGTGAAATAGGATTAATTTGTGCAGTGGAGGTTGTGGATGAACATACATTAACAATATTAGAAGAAGACAATAAAATGATTACAAAAGTATCAGCAAGAGACTTACTAGTTGTTACTGAAGTTTCATTTCTCAGAATGGTATCTTCCAGAAGTTTAGACTTTTCTTCTTCTTTCTTTCAGGATTAGAACCATCTGATCTTTCTTTCCTTTTTCCTTTAGAACAATCAAATTCATCAAAAGAATATTTGGTGATGTCGAAATTAGACATATCATGTCCTAGTCTAGACATTCTTACAACATATGCAGCCACACCAGTTAAGTTACCAGTCTTGGAAAATAAAGGAAAATTGTTAACAAGGATTCTTCTATTCTTGGTGACTTTAGCTGGCTCACCCAAGTGTTTCTTTTTCCGTTTTGGGATTATCTTCATGTTTCTCAAGGTCTGTCTATTAAATAGTTCTCCAACACTAGAAGTCAAGTATTTAGTGAACTTGGCCTCTTTTGTCATAAAATCTACCAAGCCACATTCTACAAAGATATCGGTCAGAAGACGTCCAAATGGAATATTAGAAGAGACCTTTTTCTCTTGATTCACAATGGTTCTTGATTTTATGATAGCCTCCTTCAAATGACTAAACAGAACAAAGGGAAGATTCACCTTCTTTTTGGAAAGAAAATAATACAATATGAACTATTGGCTGATGTTGAAGTAATCCGAAGAACTTGTTGGAGGTCTAGGGTTTATGCAACCCAGAATGATCTTGTGCCAAATTCTTAAATTGTCATAAAGATTCTTACTTTTGTATTCTTTCTTCTAAG